CGGCCTCCATGGCCATGACAGGACTATCAGAGAGTTGACAGGAGTCCTCCTTGGCTGTGACAGGACTGTCAGAGAGTTTACAGACAGTTTCCTTGACCGTAACAGGACAGACAGAGAGTTCAGAGGCAGGCGCCGCTGATTCAGGAGGTTCTGCAGCGGAAGCTACCACCTCGGGAGAAGCTGGAGCAGATGCCGCCAATTCGGGAGGTTCTGCAGCGGAAGCTGCCACCTCGGGAGGAGCTGAAGCAGATGCCGCCGATTCGGGAGGTTCTGCATTAGAAGCTGCCACCTCGGGAGGGGCTGGAGCAGATGCCGCCGATTTGGGAGGGTCTGCAGCAGAAGCTGCCCCCTCGGGAGGAGCTGGAGCAGATGCCGCCGATTCGGGAGGTTCTGCATTAGAAGCTGCCACCTCGGGAGGAGCTGGAGCAGATGCCGCCGATTTGGGAGGTTCTGCAGCAGAAGCTGCCACCTCGGGAGGAACTGGAGCAGACGCTGACGACTTGGGTGGTTCTGCAGTGGAAGCTGCCACCTCTGGAGGAGCTGGAGTGGACGCCACTGATTCGGGTGGTCCTGCAGTGGGAGTTGCCACCTCGGGAGGAGCTGAAGCAGACTTAGACGACTTGGGAGGTTCTGCAATGGGAGCTGCCACCTCGACCGTAACAGGACAGACAGAGAGTTCAGAGGCAGGCGCCGCTGATTCAGGAGGTTCTGCAGCGGAAGCTACCACCTCGGGAGAAGCTGGAGCAGATGCCGCCGATTCGGGAGGTTCTGCAGCAGAAGCTGCCACCTCGGGAGGAGCTGGAGCAGATGCCGCCGATTCGGGAGGTTCTGCAGCAGAAGCTGCCACCTCGGGAGGAGCTGGAGCAGGTGCCGCCGATTTGGGAGGTTCTGCAGCAGAAGCTGCCACCTCGGGAGGAACTGGAGCAGACGCTGATGACTTGGGTGGTTCTGCAGTGGAAGCTGCCACCTCTGGAGGAGCTGGAGTGGACGCCGCTGATTCGGGTGGTCCTGCAGTGGGAGTTGCCACCTCGGGAGGAGCTGAAGCAGACTTAGACGACTTGGGAGGTTCTGCGATGGGAGCTGCCACCTCGGAAGCTAGAACGGGACTGGCGCGGACTCTGGAGCAGATTCAAGGACTGGAGTAGGCTCTGGAGCAGGCTCTGGAACAAATTCACGGACTAGAGTGGGTACAGAGCAATGTGTAGCCCAAACACACAGAATGGCAACCGCCATTACAGGGAGCACTGAGGATAGGGGAACAGCCTCAGTGACGACCAGTGCTGAAGCTCTTGGAATGCCCGCTGCACGCACTCACATCAACAGTGGATCCGCCAGACTGGACGCCAGCCTCAAACACCCCTGCAATGCCTTATTGTCATCAAACACAACATCCACGATGCTCGGGAATACTGGAGGGGCATTCGTGATGGCTGAAGACTGAGGCTTGATATCCATAATGGCTGGAGGCTCTGGCGTAATGACCATCTTGTAACGTGACTCTGGCTTGGTAGCCATCTTGTGAAGAGGTTCTGAGCTGGTGGCCATCTTGGGAAGAGACTCTGGAACGGCAGCCATTACGTGGAGAGGCTCTGGTGTGGCAGCCATCTTGTGATGAAGCTCTGGAACGGCAACCCTGACAGGACAAGACTCCATGTTGTGAAATGGCTCTGGACTTGGGAGTGCTGAAATCACCAGAGTGCCGACCATAATAACTGGACAGGGTGGTGACTTTGGTGAGCAAAGCTCTGTGGTGAAGAATAAACCCTGTGGGGCCCCCCCCCCCCCCTCACAGAATGACCCTTGAGGAGCACAGATTAATTTGTCCTTTAGTGGGGTATTAAGTCCATAACAGAAAAAGTAAATGAGTGCATCTGGCAGGTCAGAAGCATTAGCTGTCCAAGAAAGTCTGGATGTGCTTTTCGAGGGTGTGATTACCTTGGCGCAGATGAACTAGCTCAACTGCTGGATCCTTGGTGGCGAAGTATTCTGTTAGGTGACGAACGTGACAATGGAGTTGACATCTGCAACTTTATTTAAGACAGTAGTCGAAACGGGCAGGGTCAAAACACCAGAAAACAGTAACAGCCAAGGCAAAACGAGAGTAATCCACAAAACAGGCAATGGTCAAGACAACGTTCACAAAATACAAGAATACAGTCCAGGGTCAGATCACAGGCAAGGCAAGACTAGATAAAGAAACAAGGTAACAAAGGAAAACGCTAGGTAATGTCAACAATGTTAAACAATACTTTGCGATGTGTGTGAGCGAGTGTCCAAATTAAATATTCCTCCTGATAGGAAACGGATATATGTATATGTGTGTGTAACCCTGGACCACAAAACCAGTCTTAAGTGTCAATTTTTCGAAATTGAGATTTATACATCACCTTGAAGCTGAATAAATAAGTTTTCCATTGATGTATGGTTTGTTAGGATAGGATAATATTTGGCTGAGTATATTTGGCAACTATTTGAAAATCTGGAATCTGAGGGTGCAAAAAATCTAAATATTGAGAAAATCGCCTTTAAAATTGCCCAAATTAAGTCTTTAGCAATGCATATTACTAATCAAAAACAAAGTTTTGATATATTTACGGTAGGAAATTTACAAAATATCTTCATTGGAACATGATCTTTACTTAATATCCTAATGATTTTTGGCATAAACGAAAAATCGATTTTGACCCATACAATGTATTTTTGACTCTTGCTACAAATATACTCATGCTACTTATGACTGGTTTTGTGGTCCAGGGTCACATTTGAGGTATACCTATGATGAAAATTACAGGCCTCTCTCATCTTTTTAAGTGGGAGAACTTGCACAATTGGTGGCTGACTATATACTTTTTTGCCCCACTGTATATATATATATATATATATATATATATATATATATATATATATATTTGTTGTATAAATATATATTGGTGCGGGTCTTTACTTTACTACAAACTTATTTTTTTAAAGAAGATCTACATTTCTCATTTTTTTTCATGGAGGAAAATGTGCCATGCTTCAGTGAATGATTTGGGGGGGTCAGTATCAAAAGTAGCAGTCAATATCTGGTGTGACCACTAGACTACTGTGCATCTCATCCTCATGGACTGCACCAGATTTGTTGGTTCTTGCTTTAAGATGCTACCCCACTGTTCCACCATGGCACTTGCAAGTAACTGGACATTTCTGTGGGGACACATGGGTATACATGGTTTGCCACTGCAAGAACGATCATCTGTCCTTCCTGTCTTCCTAGGCATCTTACATTATATCTATTGAAGTTAATTACTTTGACCACATCTGCAGTCCTCATACCTCCGTGCAGAAGACCTATGGAATGTTCATGCAGGTGAGCACAGACCCTGGATATTTTCTTCTGGTGTTTTCAGTCAGTAGAAAGTTCTCTTTACTGTCCTACTGGCCTGTTCAATTAAATCAACACTTAAATATAACTTTTTCATTAAATTTTTTAAAAATATTTCTTAGCCAAAATGTAGATGATCTGTCGTCTGAAAACAAACAAAAAAAAATTCTTCTGCCTCTTTAAAACACCAGTAGAAAGATGCCTATGGTCTCTGCTCACCTGTGTGAACATGGCATAGTGCTGCTTTAGGGAGGTATGGGGACTGCAGATGTGGCAACTGCAATGTTCATTATGTTAGAGAGTGCTACAGGAAAACAGGAAGGACAGCTGATCATCCTTACAGTCGCTAATCACATGTAAATGTGCGTGTGTGTGTGTTTGTGTGTGTGTCCCCACCATCCCCCGATAAATATCTGGGATAACATCTCACAGCAAAAGCTAACCAATCTGATGCAGTCCATGAGGATGAGATGCACTGTAGGACTTAAAGCAGCTGGTGGCCACAACAGATACTTTTGATATTTCAAATGAGTTTGATTTCCTTTTGCATAACACAAACAAAATATCTGAAGAATGATTCATCTGTGTTGTCCATACTTTAAATCAATAGGGACATAAAGATAGCATAAAAGTAATCAATACAACCAGTGGTTTGTTTTTGTTTTTGTTTGTTTGTTGTTTGTTTTGTTTTTAAATGATACGATCACTTTGTATGATAAAAAGAACGACGTGTAAGTGGTTCTTCACAAATCACTGGTCACCTCACATATAAAGAGCGCAATAGAAATCAGTTGCCATTATAAAACAAGCACCAGTAAGGTTTGGATATTATTCATGTGCTGCTACATTCTCTGTTGTTTCATGGAAGAACAAAATTCATACAGATTTTGAGTGCTATGAGGGGAGTAAATTATAACATAATATTTAGGTGAACTGATTTATTAAAGGGTTAGGTCACCCAAAAATAATTTTTTTGTCATTTACTGACCCTCATGTTGTTCCCAAACTCATAAGACTCTTTAATTCCTCTTCAAAACACAAAGATGTTTTAATGAAAGCTGAAAAAGTTCTGTCTCCATTAAAAGTCCATGTATGTTTTTACATCCATTTGCAGTATATTTTTTCTCTCCATCTCTAACTACTAAGCCAGAACAATAACCACAGTGACACTTGCAAAATGGGCACTTTATAATTCCTTATTATCTGTACTTTTAAAACAATTGTCCATAATTGTCTAAAATACAGTATGCACAATCTGCAATAATACACCATCCAGTGATGTCATGCTTTGTTTATACATAATGATAATAATAACAATAATAAAAAGATAAGCCTTAAATTTATGAACAATTTGTCCAATGACTGATCAGATTTTGTGTGCTAAGAGGCCAAACAATTTGTGCATCCCTAGTACATGTAAAATAATTTGTAGTTTGCAATTAAGATAAATAAAAATTACTTGTGGAATTGCAATGAATATGTTATCCCACCCAGTACTCAGAATCATGGCTTTTTAGATGTTAGACACAAAAACTAGTTGCTGAATGGTTTTCTATACCTACTTGAGGTTTTTGTTGGACTGTTGTTGATGTTGCATGCATGATGTTCTTAAGAGGTTTTCTTTTCTGTCTTGTAGTAAATTCCGCCTGTCATACTACCCCCATCGTTTGGAAAGTTTTAAGGAGATTGTAAGAGCATCATTTTTTGGAAAATGTGAGCACAATGTATATGGAGACTTCAAGAAATACACCCCAGGGCAAGGAGAGGTGCCCTGTTATTTCATTCATGTGGTTAAAAAAACTACTTAAAGCCACATGCATTCTGTAATTTTTTATGTTCACATGCAAAATTGGTTGTGAAAATTGGTCTATGAAAAAAAAAAAAGACTAGGGCTTGCATGACATGATTTTAGTTATTTTGCTTTGTTGGGGGGGGATATGTTTTTCTCTTTTTATTTACTCTTTCATATTACACATTCTTAAGCATTAACATTTTACTTTACAGACCACTGCTAAAAGCATATCACACAGAATGTGTTTTTGTGTTCCAATGCGCTGCTTAATTGTTTTTTTTGTAAACATGCACTAGACAGATGTTTTTGTCCGTTGACCCACATGTCAGATTACAGAAGTCAAAGTTGATGTTGCATGCATGATGTTCTTAAGAGGTTTTCTTTTCTGTCTTGTAGTAAATTCCGCCTGTCATACTACCCCCATCGTTTGGAAAGTTTTAAGGAGATTGTAAGAGCATCATTTTTTGGAAAATGTGAGCACAATGTATATGGAGACTTCAAGAAATACACCCCAGGGCAAGGAGAGGTGCCCTGTTATTTCATTCATGTGGTTAAAAAAACTACTTAAAGCCACATGCATTCTGTCATTTTTTATGTTCACATGCAAAATTGGTTGTGAAAATTGGTCTATGAAAAAAAAAAAAAGACTAGGGCTTGCATGACATGATTTTAGTTATTTTGCTTTGTTGGGGGGGGGATATGTTTTTCTCTTTTTATTTACTCTTTCATATTACACATTCTTAAGCATTAACATTTTACTTTACAGACCACTGCTAAAAGCATATCACACAGAATGTGTTTTTGTGTTCCAATGCGCTGCTTAATTGTTTTTTTTGTAAACATGCACTAGACGGATGTTTTTGTCCGTTGACCCACATGTCAGATTACAGAAGTCAAAATAAAAAGATAAATGCATAAATAACCCCTTTATCGCCCCTGAATATTAAAGCATTGTTGAATATGCTATGCAATATAAACATATAAATAAGTAATATAAAAATGGTTGTGACAAGTCTGCAGGTACATCCATGCTATTCAGACTAACAGCACTAATCGTGCTGTAATATTACTTTTAAAAACAAGCAATATAATTATAGCCAGTTACTCTGTTTGAAAGCTGAAGTAGCAATTCATACTGTGTTCAAGAAACATAGTGTGAATGTTTTTAAAAAATAAAAATCGTGTTGTTAATTTAATTTCTCACTTATAAAGACAGTTGTTTCCAACTACTAGCTTAACATTGTAACCCGAAGAAAGAATTGCTGAAAAATTCATAGCAATTATGCACAGACTGTTGACCTGTTATGGTGCAAACACAGATAAAAAAAGATAATACAAACAGTGCAAGTAAAAGTGCGAGTAGGGTGTACATTAAACTTACACATATATAATGAACCACTTAAATACACAGTATGAAGTAGTCATACATATGTGTATAACTGAATGTTCAGACAAATACATATCACTGCTGTGTGTCTTTCAAAAATTTTAAGTGCTGATTCTTTGCTGTTTTTTTAAGGGTGCATTAAATATGCACTAGCCGATACATAGTGTAATGACCTATGGGTATGCAAATATTAAAGTTTACTGGACCTTTTTTTCCCCTTTCAAATTGTGTATTATCTTAAAAATCTCATGGAGTTTTTCCAGTGTTTCTTTTGGTTTGCTCATTGGTGGTTGTAAGGCTTTATTTTATTTTTCTTCATTGTGTTGACCCATATCAAAGTCCTTTGACACGCACAATGTAAAGACTGTTGAATTCCAAAATAAAAGCCCTCTAAAATCCATATATAATCTCCCCCTTTTGTGTCCTTTGTCATATCCACTGTTTTGAGCATCTTCATCTTCAAGATTAATAACTGTTTAGCCACTATATCATTCTGAAGTGAAACTGGTCTGTGGAAACCAATTTCTTTCTAAAATTATAGAAAACTGTGTACATTGGAAAATTTAGGGGATTTTTTGAAATGTATATATAATTTAGCATCAGAGAGTCCTGACATTTTGTGAGTGACACTCTGAGGTGGTATCATTCTTGTGCACAAACTGTTCTTTGGAAACAGGAATTTTTGGGCTCATATATGGTTTTTATTATGGAATTATTTTATTTTGAAATTTAACATCATATCGTGTTGTTGTGCTGAAGATGTTTCAGTCTGTTGAACAGACTACAACTCTACCTTTATTTTACTCGCACCTAATTCCACAATGTTGTATCCCAATCTCCAGTGAGAAGTAGCTGAATGCATTTTTTAAATAATAAGACTTGCTCAGACTATTAATATTGAGTAATATTATCAGTTCACCTGCACTGATACTGACATCAGTTCAGAAAAAATAACTGAATTAAGATGGATAATGACAATAAAAAATAAAAATGCTTCTGTAAAGCTGGTTATAGCTTAACTGAATTTGTTCCATGATTTATGAACTTGGCAAAATTGAATTTCTTATTGAACTTAAATAGTTTATCAGTAAAATAAAATAAACTTTTTCAAATATAATTTGAACATTTTTACATTTCTTAAAATAATAATTTAATTGACTCAGTATTTAATCACCTGTTTCTCATGGTTTCACATTAAAATTCATAAAAGTAATTCATGTAAATTACATCACTAAAGTCATAGAATAGCATAGTTGTAATAATAGCAGGACACATTGTAATGCAGCGTTACAACATTTCACATCTGCCAAACTGGTTAGTGTCTTCTGCTAGTTAGTGAAGAATTAAAGAGCCATCTAAACTGCTCTCACGCTTCTGTGTGGGGTAAGGACGAGGAGCGCACGAATAAGATAATTCCAAAGAGAGATTTATTACATTCACACACGGGGGTAACATTCAACAATAACCAACAACTCAGAACTAAAGGAAGGGGATTTATACAAACGGAAGAGGAGCTAATGACTAAATTAACTAACACAGGTTATCTAACTAAAGCAAATCAAGGGTAAACAGAAACTAGGTCAATGAACAAGACAGGTGACCAAAGTTCAAACAGGGTGATAGTCCTTGCGCTGCAGAGATGGGAGAAGGATAAGGAGAAGGCGGAGGGATGGTGACAAGGGATAGCAAAGGGGCTGGCAGAAAAACAGGCGGACAATATAGGTGGAGGTTTGGGCACCCGGGAGGAGGATGACAAACAGAGTCCAGGGTGGAGACGACGGAGGGAGGAGACAGGAGGAGCCAAGGCGGCTCAGAAGGAGGGAGTAGCCAAGGAGAAGACAGGAGGGACTTGGAGCAGGAGGAGCCAGGCGGGACCCAGGCCACAGCCCTGATGGTGACCCACGGTGGAGCAGAGGGAGGGAGGAGCCATGGTGGAGGAAGGGCTGACTCCAGGGGGCCCACCTACGGTGGCGGAGCAGGTGGTGGTGGAGCCCGAGGCAGAGGCGGGTATCCGGAAGGCCGTGGTGGAGCCAGAGCAACAGAGGACCACGGTGGAGCTGGAGGGAAGGAGGAGCCTGACAGGGACGGAGGGACTAGGTGTACTAGGAGTGGAGTCCCGAGGCGGCTGATGTTCGATGACTGACCAAGGCGGAGCCGGTGGACTGACGGGCCACGGCAGAGAGGAGGTAGCTAGGAGCCAAGGTGGAGCTGCTGGGTCGAAGGGCCGAGGCGGAGTCCAGGACTGAGAGGCTGGAGGCGGAGACAAGGGATCCTCCAGTCACGACCTCGATGGAGACTAGCAGACCAGCGGCGATCCCACCGCACAGATGGTGGGCTGAGGGTGAGCAGAGGGGCTGCCAGGAGACAGCGGTGGCTGAGCTGAGGAAACTGGGATGACAGGAGGAGACAGGAGAGGGAGGAAGGGTGGGTGGGTGGGTATTTGTGAGTATCAGGGTTTTCTGGGATGGTGTGTGCTGCCCCGCAACTCCCAGCACCGGGAGTGCAGCAGACAGGGGAATGACCTCCATGGTCGAGACGGGACAGACAGACAAGTTCGATACGGGCAGACTGACAGTTTGGGCACAACCTCCATGGTCATGACAGGACAGACAGGTAATTCATTGCTGACCTCCATGGTCATAACAGGACAGACAGGTAATTCAAGACAGGCTGACAGTTCAGGACAGACAGGGAGTTCATAAATAGCCTCCATGGCTGTAACAGGACAGGCAGATGATGACAGAAGACTGGGTACATCAGAATAAAAGTCTGTCAGATCCTCTGAGTCCTGCCTCCGCTCACCCTCAGCGGTAGTACAGTAGGCGGGGCTTCCCTCTGCGCTCTCGCGCTCCATTGTGATATCCACCGTCCTGTGCACAGTTGCCGGCTCTCGCACCTGGTCTGACGTGTCAGGCTCTAGCTCCATGGCATCCAAGAGTCAAGTCAAGAGGCATTTATTTATCATTTGCATAGTTAACACTGGAGAAAACTGGGCATTGAAATGCTTGTGATGAGGCTCAGACATACAGTGATAATAACAGGACCATAATGAAATAATTGAATAGAAAAATTAACATATACATATACGTACGTGGAGGGCACTGAGATTTTGAGTAACCATAGGCAGAACAATAAATGCAGACAGAGCAGTAAATACAAATAAGTGGCAGTCACATATACAATAAGGGTAGATAGACAGTGCTAAGAGTTTTAAGTAGTCCTGAGGTACTGAAATAAGAATACTGGGGTAGAGCAGTGTCCAAAATGTCATTGTAGAGTGTCGCAGAGCTACATGAAAGAAAATAAAAAGTGGCAGTGCAAATACAATAAATAAACTTAAGAGCAGCATGTATTCCGGTTTTAGATGAAGGATAGATGGCTGTTAAGCAGTCGGATGGTTTGAAGATAAAAGCTGTTCTTCAGTCTGGTTGTCCGTGATCGGATGGATCGTAAGCGTCTGCCAGATGGCAGTGTGGCAAACAGGTGATGAGCAGGGTGAGTGCGGTCCTTGATGATGCTGCGGGCCTTTCTCAAGCAGCGAGTTTGATATATGTCCTGTAAGGCTGGGAGTTTATGTCCAATGATGGGGTCTGCTGTTCTCACCACTCTCTGAAGAGCTTTGCGGTCGAAAGAAGAGCAGTTGCCGTACCATACAGTGATGCAGCTGGTCAGAATGCTCTCTATAGTGCAGCGATAGAAATTTGACATGATGTTTGAGGAGATGCCAAACCTCTTCATCCTCCGCAGGAAGTAG